AGGCATCGACTATGGGTTATAGGTTATTGTGGTGGCAACTGAACTGGTAAAGAAGAAGAAAAGCAATACAGATTTAGCAGAAGACATGCAGGTTGGAAGGTGCCAGAAGGGTAAGTGCCTCCAAGGTTTGACCTTTAGTGTCTAGGAATGGCTTAAAACTGAAATCGAGGTATTAAGCAGATAGCATGCAAAAATACTGTGCTTACCTGGATGCACTGAGTTTCTTGTCTTAATGCTTTTTATGGAGGTCTGTAGACTTTGGAACAATTTATGGCAATGAAACTGGCCTTTTGGACTTTACAGACCTCAGTTTCGGAGGTATCAGAGGTATCTCACGTCTGCCTCAGACTTAGGAAAGCCAGGAATCCAGAGGTCATCCGGAATCCTACCCTTCTTGCTAGCCAGAGAGAATGAGTCAGGGGTACCAGTTCGATCTGGAGATTTTGTTTACAGTGTGATGACTCTGTTTCTCACAGGCATGGCACACTGATTTCAGCTGCGTGCCTACTGTGGCTCTTCACAGCAGTTAACTTGAGGGTCAGCATCTAGTGTGCTGTAGCACTGCACCTTTTTCCAATGAGGAGTATTGTGAAATATTCTTCATCTCACTACACAGCCTATACTGAATACACTTCTTTATTAAGAAAGATTCAGATGTTACTGCTACATACAGAAGAAAATGACAAAGTCTCTATTCACCAAGCTTCCTGTCTACCTCCAAATCCCCCTCTAATCAGACCAACAGCCTAACGTGTATCTTCTTGATCTTTTACATATATATGCATATGCGTGGCCATATACATATTTTTTGCTTGTTTTCTTCTGTTTTAGAACAGATTTGTTTATACTGTGTAGACTGTTTTGCAACCTATTTTTAAAATTAAATTTTAAAGTTAAATTAATTTTCAATCAAATTTTTGAATCATTTCATTGTTAAGGCATTCGAACTAACCACATTATGTTCTTTTAAAAAATGTTTTGCTTCTGTTAAGATGGTCATATGATTTTCTTTTGTTGATGTTGGGAATTACATTGGAAGATTTCTTAATTTTTTACAATCTTAGCTTTCACGTGATGAGCCCTACCTGGGTATCATGTGTCAATTCCTCTAATACATGAAGAATCCACATTGCTAACATTTCATTAAATGGTGTCCATCTCTGTTTTTAAATGTAATTGGCAGATACACGTTTGTTTGCTTGTTTATTTGGGTTGTCCTAGGATTTGGTTCTATGATTATTCCAGCTCCATAAAATAAACAGGAAACTTTCAACTTTTGTCTATGTTCTGAAAAATGCCATATGAGAATATCTTATTCTTCAAAGATAGGGTGAAACTCTTTCAGTAAATCATAGGGGAAGGTATCATTTTTTTTTTGCGGAAAGGTCTTTGACTATACCTCAGAATTCTCCAGTGGCTACTGGTCATTTCAGTTTTCTCTTCTTTTTTTGGCCAACTTTGACAGTGTAAGTTTTCACTTGGTAAAAATCCATTCAACGTAGAGTTTGACATTAACTGGCAAACGTTTGTGCAGATAATCTTTCCCTTTTCTGTGCATATTAAATGTTCTTATGAGTCTACTTTTGTTTCTCATCTCATTTGTCCCTCTCTTTTACCAAAATGGCACTTACTATGGTATTTCTATTTTCTTGATCTTTTCAAAGAGCCTCCTTTAGATTTATTGATCTGCCAAACGAATATCAAAACCTGTTCTCACATAATTATCAGTGTGGAAATACAGCAGGAATTGATACATATATGGTTGGAATGTAATAGAACATCTCTAATCACATATGTATATGCATATATTCGTGCACTTAAATTCAGTTTATGATAAAAATGGTATTTAAAATGTCTATTTTTTTGATCCAGGAATTCCTTAATATGTCTGGTCTACCATCTTACATTCTTCTAAATGGATTTGCAATTTTTTTTTTTTTTTTTTAGTGATAGAAATGTCACTGCATGTGACATTTTTAGCAGGGAGAGCCAGTAGATACTTGTGCTCCTGCTAACGTATTGGTCCAGGATTATTGTAGGAGCTGTAGAACGTACACGTGACCAGACAGTAATAAAATCATCCATAAGTCAAACCACTGCGAGAAGCCACAAGTCATTTCTTTCTCTCTTAAGGACATTGTGAATTTTTTTTTTCTCACTTTCTCTCCTAGTTCTAGTTTAATTTTCTCATTTTCCTCTGCATTGCTTTTTCTAACTGTGCAAAACTTAAAAATATTCTTTTAATTTTTTATTTGACTTTATTTTGTAGAAAAGTTTCAGATTGATAGAAAAATTACACAGACCTTTCAGCATTCCCATATACTTCTCCTTCCTCCTCCCCAGTCTCCCCTGTTGTTACCATCCTGCATTGGCATGGTACACTTGTTAGCACTGATGCACCGACATGGATGTTTTATTAACTAAAGTCCTTAGTTCACATTAGAATTCACACTTTCTGCTGTGTGGATTCATGGGTCTTGACAAATGTGTAGTGTTGTGTCCACCGTGGCAACAACGTACAAAAGAGTTTCATTTTCCTTAAAACGCCCTATTTATCTCTGGCAACCATTAATCTGAACTTTGGCAACTACTAATCTTTTCACTATCTCTATAAAAAACATAACACTGCCCTCCATTCAATTCAAACTCATAGAAACCCTATAGGACAGAGGACTGCCCCATAATTTCCAAGGCTGTAATCTTTATGGAAGCAGACTATTATATCTTTCTTCTGCAAAGTGGCTAGTGGGTTTGAATGGCTGGTCTTTGGGTTAGCAACAACCACTGTGCCACCAGGGTTCTCATTGTCTCTGTAGTTTTGTCTTTTCCAAAGTGTTATATAGTGGGAATCACAGAGTGGGTAGCTTTGTCAGACTGGTGTCGTTCACACAGCAATATGCATTTAATGTTGCTTCATGTCTTTTTGTGGTCTGCTATCTCCTTTCTTTTCATCACTGAATAATACTCCACACTATGGATGTCTGGTGGCATAGTGCCTAAGGCATTTGACTGCTAACCAGAAGGCTGATGGTTCAAATCCACCAGCCACTCTTCGGAAGGAAGACTGGGCAATCTACTTCCATAGAGACACTACCTCGGAAACCCAAGGAGGAGTTGTTGTGAGTCGGAACCAACTCGATGGCAGTGAATTGTTTTATGGATGTATCACAGTTAGTTTATCCATTTACCTTTTGAAAGATGTTTTGGTTTCTTCTGCTTTTTGACAATTATTAATAAAGCTGCAATAAATGTTGGTATGCAGGGTTTTATGTAGACATACATTTTCAGTTCATTTGAGTGAATACCCAGGAGTGTGACTGCTGTATTGTATGTGTCTTGGGTTTCTAAGAAACTGCCAGACTATCTTCCCAAGTGACTGCATCATTCTGTATTCCCACCAATAAGAGCTCCTGTTGCTCCACATCCTTACCAGCACTTAGTGTTGTCAATGTTTTGAATTTTAGCCATTCTAATATGTGTGTAGGAGCTCTGGTAGCATAGTGCCTAAGGCACTTGAGTGCTAACCAGAAGGCTGGTGGTTCAAACCTACCAGCCACTCCTTGGAAGGAACGTTGGGCAATCTACTTCCATAGTGATACTGCCTCGGAAACCCAAGGAGGGGTCGCTATGAGTTGGGGATGACTCAGTGGCATATAACAACAACAACAACAACAATACATGTGTACTATATCTTGTTTTTCATTGGAAATTCTCCAATGACATATGTCAGTCACTGTCAATTGGAATCATCTCTATGGCAATGGGTTTGGATTTTGGTTTTGGAAGGACATATGAATAGGGAGCCCTGGTGGAGCATTAGTTAGGCGCTCAGCTTCTAACTGAAAGGTTGGTAGGTTGAGCCTATCAGTGGCTCTACAGGAAAAAGACCTAGAGATCTGGTTTCTTAAAGATAACAACCTTGCAGACCCTGTGGACAGTTCCACTCTGTCCTCTAGGGGCGCTGTGGGTCAGAATGGACTCCAGGGCAGTGGGTGTGGTTTGGGCTTTGCTTC